TTATATTCCAATCCTTACGAGATTCACGAGATTTCATAATTTTTAGAATTTTCGCATAATTTATAACTCATTTTTATATTCATTAAAGTTAAAAATTTTTATCCCAAAAATATTTTTAGTTTCATATTATAAATTGATTTATCTTTATTTATAGCTTCTTTTATAAGCTCAATTTTTGATGGATTTTTATGAAATTTTTATTTTCAAATTTTCTTTCGCTTGAATTTCATAAAACTGCTTGGTTTCTAGGGCGGAAATTAAAAAGTAAGTATGACGCAAAAAATAATAATTTTTTATGGTTTATGGTTTATTCTACCGACGGGCAGCAATGATTTGATGAATTTGATGAAATATAATTAGATCTATTTCAGGATTCACTTTATTTTTTCTTTAAATCACTTTTTATATTTTACTTATTTCTCATCATTTATTTTGGAACATCAAGAATGAGAAAATTATTTGAGCTAGAATTTTCATAGAGCAATCAAATTTCGTTCAGATTGGCCATGAAATTATATTTCTATCGCCAAACAAAAATTTCTATTTCTATTTCTAAACCAACGCAGCCAGAAATGAGTAGTGTTAGCCACTTCTTTACTATATATTTTTTAACGAATTTCTTTATTGTACGCTTCATATTAAATAAAATATCATTGGAGCAAGAAAAAAGAATATATATGAATATATCCTATGTATATATCGAGTAGATTTTTTTAATTTTTAATTTCCAATTTCTAAAAAATTCCTTCGAATCTTTTCAAATTCTACTTTAATTCCTCTTCACTGACTGGTTACGCTATTTTTCACTAATTAATATTCATTTATTTTTGACTCTTTTGCTATTATAAATTATTAAACAAATAAAAATGAAGATGATAATATTGGCTATAATTCATGCGATTAATATTTCCAGTTTGTAGTCATGAATTTGATCAATTTAAATAAAAATAGAAATTTCATTCATTGCTTTCAACATAGACAACAATTATCTAAAAAATGAGCGATGTTCTATCATAAATTCTGTGTGGCCAATTATTTCAAACACGATTTCAATAATTGTTGGAATTCCTCATTTTCTAGCTTTAGGAAAATGATACAAACAATTGAAGAGCAGTTGTAAAAGAAAAATTAATTCACTCACCTGTGAACAGCAATTAATTAATATGTCACTTTGATAATTGGTGTATATGCTTTTTTTTTTAAAAAAAACTGTCTACCAGCCAAGGTGGTCAATTGGCGACAGAAGTATAGGTGAATCACCAACAGCATTCAGATTTTCGGACAGATTTATTCCTACGGGAAATAGAACACTAGTAAAGATGCGAGTAGTGGGAGTGGTAGACGGCTGAGTTATTCCACGCATCCAAGTTTCATGCATTTAATTTCTTCATATAATGCTTTTATTACACTAATCACTAAATCGCTAAGAATATGAAGTCAAGTGTTGGTTAAAATAAATTAAGAAGCAAAAGAATATAAAAAAAATTATAAAATATAAAACATTGAAGACAAAGCAAACAAAACATTAAAAATAAGGTTGAAAACGGGCAAAACAAAACAAAAAAAATGCGAAATAAATTATAGAATTTATCAAAGTTGCTATTGAAAATATTAAAAATATCAATATTAGCGGTGGGTCGTGGATAAAATTTCAAATAATATAATACTGATAATGATTATTGATTATTACTGATTAATGACACTATAAAGTTTCTTTCTGAACTAGAGATGGATGACGCAAAGATAACAGCATTAGGTAGTATTTCTCAATATTTCTAATAGAGAAGTTATGAGACAATACATTGGTTCTAAATATTGGCTTAAGTCACCCATTTGAACCATTCATCCTCGACAGTAGTGAAATTCAAGCGGGAATCGTTATCATTAGCATATATTCAAATTTTCAATTATTAAATGACCGAACAAACTGTTGTGATTAAACATCAGATTTTGTTTTATTCTGGTTTCTCTAATATAGATTGCATAATTTCAACTTGGATTTATAAATTATCGAAAGGTTAGGATCTATAAAGCATAAGGAATATTTACGCAAACTCTAATTGATAAATTTTATAAAGTATGATATTTAGGTAAGGAACAAACTGCACTTTGAATATTCTAAATGTGAAGAATTGTTTAATTACTCGAGTTGATGCAAAGTTAACAATAAAATTAGATGGAAGGTCGGAGCATTTAGCACTAATATGCAAAATTTTCATCGGATGACTAAATCTGCCTTTGCTGAAGCCGCCACTTGACTATTTCTGATAAGCATTCATATTCTCTGATCTGTCATGCGAAAAATAAATTTCACAATCATCGACGTATAAAAAATTTTTGGAAACGACTTTAAGAACGCCATTAAAAATAACAGAGAGCTACCTTGAGGCACAACAGATTTAACCAAGGCAAAACCAAATACTACTTCATTAATATGAGCAGTCTGGTAACTATTAGTAACTAAAGAATCTAATATCCGATAAATAGCCGGTAGTACCGTTTATTAATTATTTGAAGTAACTTGTTGTATGAGGTAGCATGAAAAGCTTTAGCTTTAAACTTAAATAGACTAAAATGAATAAATAAATAAAATAAAATAAATACCACTAGAACACGTGGCCACATCAGAAAACAGGCATTCAAAGGAGTTGGATATTCGATATCAGCTAGATATACGACTTTTTTCTGAGAAAACTCTTGAAAATCGATATCATTTTATTTTCCTCAAGGTAGTTGTGTAAGTTGTATAAAGTATTGCAAGGTACCAGTCTCTCTGGCACTCTCCAACCAATGCGAGTGGTACCAATCGGTAATTTGAAGACTTCTGCCTATCAGAGATAAAGCTAGAAGGATTGCGCATTTTTTATGAATCTTTGGGGTGTGATCGGAGTTTTAATGATTGTTTTAGGCACGTTAAAATTATTGTATAAATATTTAATAACGAAATATTAATGGCATTCATAGATGATAACGAAAAGGAATGATAATCCATTTTTATAATTCATTACTTATAGATGCAATAGAAATTTTATTATCATCCAAGCAAAGATTGGCAAAATAGTTATTGAAAAGATTTGCAGTGTCCATATCATCAGTTTTCAGAGCGTGTTGGACTCGAAAATTTGTTCTTAATACAGCTCCGGAATAAAGCATAATTAGCTCATTATCGCGTCTTCTTCGGTTATGAAATATTCATCTAGAGCTGTATGAGAAACCTTTAGAGAGAAATCTTTATATGTGGAGAAACCATTGGAAGAGTTGGTTGTTTTCTTTCTTATTATAGGAACTTTCTGCTTTTTTCTTCGAGAATTTTAAAAAAACCTTTTTTTGACTAGGGGAATAAACTGGACTCGATGAGGTTTAATAAAATATAAATAGAGATACCTAATTTTTGGGTAATTTTGGCCCATGGATTCTACAAAAGGAAACAAAAAATCGCAACCAGCTTTAGCAATGTGCGAATTAGTGGTATTGCAGTCAAAGCTGTGAAAATATCTAATACATACGATTGGGTGGACGAATTACACTCTCTTTCAACTTTATATTATATTAATAATGTAATCTCTGCTAGAAAACCATTTTAAGAAAGACTTAAAGACAAAAAGGACTCAATAAAAGAAGTCTAAAAAGACGTCAAAACGACTATATTATTATTGTTAAATATTATTAAATCTTGCTGAAGCATAGTGCGCTTTTTTTCTTTTTTTTTTAAAGATTCCTCACCATTACCGGTTAAACTCGCTCCGTTGGCTTGTCGCACTGGATAAATACGCCAGAGAGTCTCTTAGTGATAGAAATACACGTGAGTCGCCAGCACTACCCTGATTTTTATACAGGTTTACTCCTGCGGGAATCGAACCTCAGTATCGGCGCTCCCAATTCAGCAACAACCCCAACCCACTGAGCCTTTCTTTCCCCATGGTGTTCTAATCAAATATGGAGCAAATATGAACAAAAAGCCTTTCTTGGATTTACTATTCTTAAATATCCAATTATAATTATAACTTAAATAATTCAAGCGTATGGAAAAAACAATCATATGCTTTTTATTAATATACCTATGCTATATTGGGAAGGAATAAAAATGAAAGATGTGAGTTATTATATGGCCTAACATGTGGCCTCTCTTTTTATAGTTTAGCTCATAATTTTAAAATTTTAAACAAATTTTCTGAAGATGCACAACAATGAATGATTTAATGATTTCATGTATTTGTATTTATATATTTCTCTATTCGGTATATCAGTTGAGAATTATGAAAACTTTTAGCCAAAAATTATAAGTGGAAAATCAGTTGACTGCGACTGCTAATTTCTTTAATTTACTCATCTTAAAAAGATTTATCAATTTTTCTCAAAAATTCTTTAAATGAATCATTTTTTGGCCATAAGGATCACAAAATTTTTTTAAATTTCATTTTTTCGCAGAAACCATTTGATTCGTGAAAGACAAAGTTCATTTTGTTTCATATAACCAAGCATTGTTTCTTAATATTTTCATATTATATTTTTTAATATTATATTTTTTTTCGCTCATTTCTGTAGATAGATTTGTTTCAGATGAATTTATCAAGTTCATTTTTCTTTTTGCAATATTTAAACTAAAAAAAGCTAAACTAAGCAAATAAATCATCGGCTCTTGGCCATGGCAAATCTGACATTAAATAGTCCGGTTGGTGTTAACGACCTGTATTTCTAGCCAGGTGACTCTGGCAAAATTTGTTTATGCCTGTGATAGCAATCAGCGGAGCTATCATAGCCAGAAATGGTGATTACATACTTTTACCTATATAAATATATTTATAATTTTTAAATGAAATATAATTCAAATTCATCCACTTTATGTTAAATTTAGTCGACAAGAAAAGTTAATGATGAAAATAATTTAAAGATTACATTTATACCAATATCTCTATGCTGTGTATACATCTTTTTTAAGAAAAATGTCGGGAAAACATAAAAATTCCTTTTAATCTTAATAAAATTTTAAAAATTTAGAGGACATGGTGAATGCAAATATGAATGATGAATATGAACAAAAAATTCTACAATTTTATAATGAAACAAAAGAATTTGAATCAAGAATTGGAATAATTATTCCAATGATATTTACTATAATAATTATTCTTGGTTTATTCGGAAATTTACTTGTTGTTATAGTTGCTTTCAATCGAAAAATGCGAAACAGTACCAATATTCTTATTATTGGTTTGCTTCTTTCCATTATTTTTTTTTCATAATTTTATTAAAATGAATATATTTGTCATAGATATATTCATGAAATCGATATCTTTCATGAAATCTTTTTGTTTTTGTATTTTTGTTTTTATATTTTTCCTTCATTTGATATTTAAAATTAAAATTTGAAATTTTCGTTTTTTTTACTTCGATCAATAGAAATAAATTTTAAAATACGATTGAATTTAATCTTTTGGAAAGATTAAAATTTTGCTATAGAGAACGAGGAAAAATTTTCCACTCTTATTAATCGAGGCTGTTCTGTTTTATTTCGATTAATTTTGCATAATATTCTATCTGATTGTTCATGCAGTTGCAGTACTCGCCGAGCTGAAAGATTTTGAAAAGTATTGAGAAACAACCCTTTGAAGAACAACTAAAAACTACATATTTTTCTAGTTATTTATTTAGTTTTTCGCCGATGAATGAATAATTCCATTTTTTAGAATTTTTTTCTAAATTTTCTAAATTTTTTTGTAAAAAAATCCATTTTTTAAAAAAATTTTTGGTCTTTCGCATATTTTTCCTACGAATTTTATCAAAATTAATTTAATTTTCTAAATTTCTCTACAAAATTTGCAAATTTGCAATTTTCTCTGGAATCGGGTAATAAACATTATATAAAAGTAATTAAAACATTTTTTGATGTTTTTTATTTTTTTATTTATTTTTATATAAACAGATTAATAAATATATTTATTATTTTTGAATGAAATGAATAAGGGCAAAATTCATATATTTATTCGACGCTTTAAAATTGAATAATGCGGAGGATATGCATAAATTTAGTTTTTTGTCAAGGTTTCCTTTTTCGGAAATTATTTGGATTCATTTAAATTAACCAAATTCTCCAATTTTTTTTTGAATTTTAGAAAATATATTCGATGAATTAGAATAGAATCTCTTTACTTCCTTTATTTAAAAATTGTGAGTTAAATAACTGGCATTTGAATTATCTATTTTCTTTCCATATTTAAGTGCTTCGACTAGGATCAAGCAATTAAGTCTCTTGTCAGTTGGTTGAAGTGACTCTTTCATTCAAAACGAAATCTAAACTAGCTGTTGGTAAAAAAGTCTCATCCTAACCGAGTCAGTCAAAAATGGTGAGCCTTTTAGATGAAGAAGTAGGATCCATTTATAATTATCAATTAGAATAAAATTTTTTCTTGCGATAAGCCACCATTTCTAGTTAGGCTCACTCTGTATGTATACTATAAAAAGAAATTTTTAGCAGTGGGTTTAGGGAAGGCATCTCCAGCATAATCTAGATTTTTTACTAATAGGTGCTAGATCTACTCCTATCGGAAACAGGAATCTTGAAATTGAAATAGTAGTTCAAGGAAAAACCACTCGGTTACCCACACAGAATAGTTCAGAATGATTTGTTTGAATGTTATTTTCAACTATATAAACCAAAGCATATTATACTAAATTTGATATTGAAAAATTTTTATGTAAAAAATGTTATAAAATCTTGAAAAGAGCAAAAGAACGAACAACATTTCATATTAATGAATGTTTTGAAAATTCTTTATGCTATCATTATAATTAAGATCGATCGTTTCATCGTTTCACTTTATTTATAAAAATGCTTTATACTGAATAATTTATATTGTATGGCGAAGAAGGTTTAAGAAAATATTTAAGTTTACAATTTAACGGTTTAAAAGATTAAAAATTTCAATCAGAAATTTCAATCGAAATCAGTAAAATCGATCAGTAAAAATTAAAATTGAGATTTAAAATATGGCATATTTAGGTTTCTTATGCATCAAAATAAAATAAAATTTTTTTGTCAATTTCTATTTGTTTTATAAGTTAAGGCCAGTTGGAAATTTTCGAAGAAAAATTTCCAAAAATAAAGTGAAAATTTTTCAAAAATTTCTGAAAAATTTAATTTATTATTTGGAATTCTAATAAATTGAATATCAATAAACTGAAAAATGAAAATGATAAATATAATTATAAGGTAATTGAAGGGTTAGCTTGTTCTGATCTAACATTTCTGACATTATGTGTGCCGTTTACTGCGATCGATTACGCTTCACCTGTATGGATATTTGAAAGCTGGATGTGTAATATGATTAATTATTTACAGGTTTATTAATTTTCTGTACTCTAATAAATAATAAATAAATTGGGGAAAAATTGAAAAAATCGGAATTGCAGCAATGGTTTTTTGAATATACAAAGTCATTTTTAAATTTTTTTGAATAAATTGCTCAGAAAAATTTCCATCATCCACTAAATTTATATATCGTTGAATTGCTTAGCTGGATTTCAAATTTTAATTCTAATTCTAAATTTCCACTGAAAAATTTCATTTCAAATATTTTTAACTGAACAAATCCCATCATTTTTTGCATCAGTTCAAACTTCATGTGAGGATTGTTGCTGTTATTGCTATGAAGTGGAAGAAGATAGTGGCATCTATTACATTTCCAAAATATGCCATATTTTGCCATGTGCTAAGAATTAGAAAAAAAAGCTCCATTTTTTTGAAAATTATTTATTTGCTTCAAAGGACCAAGCCATGCAATAGACTATATTTTATTTAGACCATCATTATAAGTGATAAATAATATTAATGATGATATAATAAAGATAATAATAAAAGTAAAAATGATAGTAATCATATAAGGTGGAAATAAGAAATATTTTAGCATGCATCAGCATATTCATCAGTATGGACTTTATCGTTAATGGCAGTTGATCGTTATTTGGCTGTTTGTCATCCAGTTGGTAGTATCACATTAAGGAATATGCGAAACACAATAGGTGCTTTGTTAATCATCAATGCAGTGATTTTTATAAGTCAGGTTCCTGTGGCCAAAATTCATGGCATATATGAATATGATTTTATAATTGAAACGAGATCAACATGCGCTATTATTACAATTGCAACTGGTGAAGCATCTATTACTGAAGTTTGATTTTTTTCTCGACAAAATCCTATTATTTAGTAACACATTATTTCCTTGATCCACTCAATAGATAAATGAATGGATTTAACCAAAAAAGCAACTATTTGAACTTAAGAATTAGAAAAAAAGCTCCAGTTTTTTTGAAAATTATTTATTTGCTTCAAAGGAGCAAGACATGCAATGGACTATATTTTATTTAGACCAATATAATCATTATATGTGATAAATAATATTAATGATGGTACAATAAAGATAATAATAAAAGCAATAATGATAATAATCATATAAAGTGGAAATAATAAGAAATATTTTAGCATGTATCAGCATATTCATATGAATTTAATTTAAAATTGTTGGCCATTTTGCATAACAAATGTTAAAACAAGCGGTTAGAGCTCTTTCTGTTTAAGCAAATAGTTAGCAATTTTTGCTAAGGAATCACTTAGCGATAGAAACATAGGTAGCCAAACACTGGCCGCATCTTTGGAAGGTTTCCTTCTGCCTGCACCACCTTCCTACCCCCTCCTTTCTAATATTAAAAATATAAAAATATAATATTAAATGTATAAAAATATAATATTCTCTAGTAAAGCATCAAGCTTAGCCATTTAATCAGCATTTTGGAGCATATTCAGCGTGAATATGTGCTCATATTTCAGGCTCGTTTATACTTTTTTTCATTTAATGTATTTGGATACTTATTACCATTAGGTATTACTTGCTTTTTATATTATTTTATGCTGAAGAGATTGTGGTATTCTTCAATTTCGAAAAATTATGTAAGTTTGAGATAAATGCTTATAAAATATTTTGCACAACTAAAACAATAAAATTTGACTAAATTTAATTATTTTATTTAAAAATTTCATCTATTCGGAAGATCTGAAGCAATTTATAAGTGTAATCAAAATGAAACAGTCATCTTGGCTGGTAATCTAATTAAAGGCGATGGGTTTATCACTTCGTTCTCGACCCGAAACTGTCAAAGCGAAAAGGAAAGCCACTCGTTTAGTGCTATTTGTTGTCATTATTTGGGCATTCTGTTGGTTACCGCTTAATATTTGTTTTTTATTATCAGGTATGGCGTATTTTTTCATTGCTTCGTAATTTTATTGTATCCATTCGAAATGACCTAAAAAATATCAAATATAAAGCATTATCAAACATTCTAATATTGTAATTATATATAAAAAATTTTCTTTTCACTTCCTGTGGGTGATCTAAATTTTTAAATTTAAATCTTCCTCAACTTCGATTTCTTTTAATTACCAGAGGCTTGGGAATTAGACGATTTTATGCAGTATCTTACCTGTTTCTAACAGCGCGCTAATCCGAGCAAAGATCTCCGATACTTTTTCTGGAATCTGTTGGAGAAACTTTTCTAACTTGGAGTCATAGTCCTGAATGCTCCTATTATCACTGTGATCATTTTGGCACTTTCCACATCTTCTCTAGTTCTTTTTTCAGTTCTTATTTTTCTAATTTCTGATATTCCTTCTTTCCAATGTTCTAGAACGAGAAAAATTCCACAGGATCTTCGCTTTGTTATTCGCAACGATTTTCTGAGAAATCTTCCATCTAATCTTAGGTTCTGATGCTACTTGGTTATGCCTTTCAACGTGTGCTATTCCTTTCTAAATCCATTTTGGATAGTTTCTGAGGCTTTAAGTTCTATCTGATTTGGTAGATTCTTCGATGGATTTGGTACTTGCTTTGTACCTGCTCTTAAGCTAATATCAGTGTCTCAGCGCTTTTAGCCTAATTTTTTCCAGCCAATCGTTATATATATATATATATATATATATATGTATATATGGGGATAGAGTGGCTCAGTGGGTTGTTGCGGGTCAATTGGGAGCGCCAGTGTTGAGATTTGATTCCCCGCAGGAGTAAGCTTGTACAAAAATCGGATGATCTGACGACTCACATGTATTTCTATCACCAAGGAACTCCCTGGCATATTGCCCAATGCGACAAGCCAGTGGAGCGAGTTTAAATAATAATGGTGAGGACTCTTAAAAAAAGTGAAACCTTCGCTTTGAATAAGGGAAACAATATAGGTTTGATTTATGGGCTTGTTGAGAATAAACTGCTTTTTTTTAAAGTGTTTTTCTAGGATTTATGAAATATCATTGTGAAATGTTATTTCAGGTATATTTTATCCAGAAACATTGGTAACAAAAGGTGGAAAAATGATGGTTATTGTGCAAATTTCCAGTCAGGTTGTTTTTTTTCTAACCGCTTTCTTGGATTTCAAGCCTAAATATAATGAACTTAATGGTCGTCATACGCTGTCGGGTTCTTTCGCACTTCATCCCTATTGTACCAAATTTGTTTTAATTTGTATGCATTAAACACATAAACTCGAATCATTTAAGCCAGTCCAGTAATACTTAATCATAAAAAAAATTTATTAAAGATTGTTGGAAATTAAATTATTCTCTTCTTTGAATAAAATAATTTTTCAAGCTAATTTAAAACATTTAAGGTTCTAGCTTATATGAATTCATGTCTTAATCCAATATTATATGCATTTCTATCAGATAACTTCCGTAAAGGTTTTCTGCATGTCTTGAGAATCACTATAAACGCATTCACACTGGGGCAATGCTGTGTTATTAACCATCCAAACGATCGTTACGATTTCGCAACTTTAAATGGTACAATTAAACGCAATAGAAAATTATTAATACGACCAGTACTTCAAGATTCTAACTGCCAAAAGGTTTGTATCACTTTTTTTGTCGATTTATACTATAATTTTGGACCAATGCAAGTTAAGAAATCTTAATCTAATAGCTTTTATTATTGCTGATTATGCCGTTCGATCGGATGGTCATGCTTGATATTAAAAGAAACCATTTCTTTTCCACCGTCTATATCAGTCTAAATTAAGAAATCTGGAAAAGTAGATTATTTATTCATTTTATACGAAAGATGTAATCTTAGAATCCTTCAAATCTTTTTCTTTCGTACGATAAAAAAAAAATCTTTGAAAATTTTCTATTTTCTCAAGAATGGGAGACATTATTGATAAGAATGTTCGATATTATTTGATATGCACACAATGCGCCATATTTCTAGATAAGTAGGTACTTACGAATTTCTTAGCAACTAAAAGTCAACTAAAAGTCATTAAGTTTGAATCAAATTTTTTTCTTTTTTGAATTTATATGGTAAAAGGAGAAGTCCGAGTGTAAATGCCTTCACGTCTTTACGTCTTTTGCGTCTGATAGAAAAAAAAGAAGTAAAAGTAGTGGCAAGACGTGCTAAGCAGCAAAGAATAGCATGGCCGCCTTTTTTCCCTAAATTCAACTTTTATTAATCCACACCTCTGCATTTTGCTATCCACATTCCAGTTATCCACATTATAGTGCAATATTTAATTGGATAAAACAACGAATAAACAAATGGACTTCCAAAAAAGGAGAAAGCATTAATTTTGAAAAATTTCAGTTAACAATGATCGACAACGATGATGAATTTATCTAGCACATCCATGAATCACCAACGATTTCGCATTTAATCATTTTGACGGTAGTTACTTAGATATCACGAATATCTCAGTCAGTAAATATATAGCAAATCTTGTCTACTTTTTTAAACTCCAGTAGAGCAAACACCTTCATCACTTTAAATATTGAATTTAAATGCATAAGCTCTAGTGATGCATTCAGTTTGCTAAATAATATAAATCATTATATTGCAGTGATCAGATGATAAATTTTGTAAATTGCTAAATTTTAAATTTCTTGGAGTACTGGAGTCTGGAGCATTTTCTGGAAATCCAGGCGAATAAAATTTAATAAAAATAAAAATAAAAATCATTTATAATAAAAATTCACTAAAGTTTGCTCATATATGATATTATTTGTTTACATTTGTCTGTTTAATTTGTTATTGATAATAAACATTTTATTAAACCAATGATCAAGTTCTGAAAATAATAAAAAGACAAGTAAAACCATATGCTTGTGTATGTATGTACACTATCGAGCTTAAGGAACTAAATAGAGATTCTTGGAATTTTACGTATCTATGATTAAATATCAGTTAAAAATAATAATAATAATGGTTATGATAATAAATACTTATTTTCAAGAGACATCGAAAAGTATCGAGATTTTTGGAGTTCTTTGATTAAATGCAAAAATCTGATAAATATTTAAAGAACAAAATAAAAAATGTATGGCAGTTGTTTAAGAAAACCAATCATTATTTAAAATATATTTTTCTTGAGGAACTTTTAAAATAAGTCAAATTTTTTTAGAATATTTTCAAATAAATTTTATTTAAAAAACATTTTTTTAGCACTTTACAGTTTATTACATATAATTGCACGTAGCTGTAGTTTAGTTTAAATTTCTAAGAATTTTTATAGCTTCCCTGTTAATGTTCTTCAATTATTGAAATATTTTATCATGTTTTATCTTTATTTTTTATCAAATCGTTATTTTTTAATGTTCTCACTTTTTTTATATTTTATAAAAAAATTATAAAAATTTACAGAAATTTAATATTTGATTATATTATATACTACAAACAAATGAATAATTCAAATGTTTCGTTATCTTATCTTTTTGTGATTTTTATCGCATGGAATGTCCTTATATGCTTATTGGCTTATCTATAAATTTCATTTAAGATTTTTTCATTTCATTAATGCATTTCATTTATTTCAGCATGCATATTATATAAATATTAAGATTGTAATAAAATTTTTAGATTTAATCAGACTAATTATAAGCGTGGAAAAAAGTTATGCAAAATTCTTTACAGTGATTTACAGCAGTGATCTAAACAGTGATTTGAAAAAATGAAAAAAACAGTTATGCAATTATTTAAAAAGAAAATATAGTTATATTAACAAATAGGTTAAAAAAATAAAATAAAAAATTTAAGATATAAAAATTATATTCGCAATATATTCCTAGAAAAGCGTGTTATAGGCAAATTATAGTGTTAGTATGTCATCCAAATAAATAGAAAAGCTACGAATAGTGGTCTGCGAACAGGTTTTAATGATTTGCTTTACTTATATGAAAATTTTGTGGGACTTGAACGAATGGTTTAATGGGAGAATAAGAAGGACGAATTTCTACAAAAGTTCCAAGACTGAAATTTATTTGAAAAAATTTTCAGAAGTTAAAATTGTTTAAATTTTTAAACTAAGAGTTTTAGATATATTTTTGCAGTGATTAGGCATATTTATTATTAATAAAAACATTGGCAAAAGAGGGATGCAAAACAGAGTGATTTGAGTAATTGAATATAAAATGTCGATCAATTATATGGGAATATACAAAAGAATAATTTTGAAATATATCGACCTTTACATTTTTGAAGTTATTCGTAGAACGAATAAACTTTTTCGTAGATTTTCGCAAAACAGTTGTTATCTTTCATTATTTATTTCATTCAGTTTTCCTCGTTAAACATCTTTTGCATCGTATTTTCTATCAAGATTCCACCTTTTTTCTATCATTTATAACGGTTAGCTGATAAACTGTCGCGCCACAATTGAAATTTTTCCTTTACTGTGATGTGGTGGTATTCTTTAACTTTTGTTCTTGTTTCGATTTTTGCTTTACAAGCACAGTCAAAAACGATTTCAAGGTTTGAACGATTTTTTACATAAAAAAAATTTTTTTTCTTTGAACTGCTAGAACTGCTAAAAAAGTACGTGGTCTCCCTCCGCATAGGGCTAGCATAGCTGGCTAGTTCACTTTGCTAGTTCATTTTCTTCAGCTCATTTCTATAATGAAATGCAAATGAACAGCTCATAATGCTCATAACCGTTTTTTATTTTTAGCATACCACTTCGAAAACAAAAAACGGTTCGACAGCATTTATTGGAGGTTGGATCTGGAAAATATGGACGTTTATACTATAATCAAATTATTAAAGCAAAATACATAGAATTATTGCGAAAAAAACTAAATGGTCAAGAAGCTGATGAAAAACTACACAACTATATGGATGTAAATTCCATTTATTAATTAATATTCCCCCTAAGTAAAGCGGTTAATTTAGTTGATTCTCAAACTTTATAATTGACCATGAATCACTTTTCTTTTCGAAACTTCATGGTGAATTTCTCGCCATTTTTAGTTTGGCTAGATTCCAGTGAAATTTTAGGTCAGCCCTCTTCGCCAGAGAATCATTTACAAATATGTAGGATGGCCAAATATCACCCAGGATCACTTTTAGTGATAAATTTATTGTCGTCAGGAGTTAGGAATAAAAAAGAGTAGAAAAAGAGAAAGCATGATGCTTGGCTTTAGCCAAAGGAATGTACCGTACCACTCGACCCTTTTTTTAATATTGACCAGCAAATTTTCTTTAAAATGGATATATGAGAGATGCCTTTTTATCAGTATTATTAAATTACGAAAACCTTTTTACATATATTTTTCATTTTTGCATTGTATTTTTTTTCACTGCATCGGAAACAAAAATTTTAAACGGATTTCGCAATTCGCGTCAGGTTTCGCTAATAATGATTCAAATTGATGAATTTTTAATTTATTCTTTTTAAAAATTTCATTATGATTTGCTTTTCACATCAGCAAAGCAAAGAAATATTAAATTAAATCTTCAAATAATAATTTATTTTATTTATTATTATTGCAAAGATTTATACTCTAAGGCAAACAATTATAATGCAATACTTTTGACTCGGAGCTCATCGATTAAACATTATAACACGAGTGCATTAATGATATATCTTTTCTTTTTAACAGGCTCAGTACTATGGCGAAATAAGTTTGGGTACTCCTCCACAAAAATTCAATGTCATATTTGATACTGGGTCATCTAATTTATGGGTGCCCTCGAAACAGTGTCCATGGACCGATTTACCTTGCCGTATGTGCTTTCTATTCATTGATTATTAACCGATAAATTTATTAACTCAATTTAAACTTGATGTTAAGTTTTCAGTTTTCCATAATAAATATGATTCAAAAAAATCAACTACATACAAACCAAATGGACAAAAAATAGAAATTAAATACGGTACGGGATCAATGAAAGGTTTCGAATCATTAGACGTCATATGCGTTAGTTTTTTTTCATAAACCTTCGTAATTTATTAGGGAAAACAGCCATAAGAGTAATATATTAAATAGGGTGAAGTAAATGGTTAACGCTTATCATTTCTCGCTCCATTGGCTGTTGGTATCGTGAGATATTTCTGATAAGGAGGAAAAAGAAGTATAGAGGGATCCGCATACAACAAAAATTTTTTGACGACAGGTTTACCACTCATGACTGGAACTTTAATCGGAATCTGAGATAATCTGAGCAACACTCTCCTATTTCCCTCTGCGAAATAAAAAACAAAATTGTCAGAACTATCAGATTTTCTCATCTCATAAATCTCATAAATAAATTCTCATAAATTTTTAAGTAAAAAAAATTTAGATCGATCAAATCTGCGCCAAAGATCAGGAATTTGCGGAAGCAACAGCAGAACCAGGTATAACTTTTCTGATGGCAAAGTTCGATGGAATACTTGGTATGGCGTTTCCTGGAATTTCTGCTGGCAACATGACGCCTGTTATTTACAATATGATAAAACAAGACCTTCTTGACAAACCTATTTTCGCATTTTGGCTGGATAGGTTTGTTTAGTATCTCAAACAATCTACTTTGTCAATTTATAATCAAAAATAAAAAAAAATCGACTAAAAATTTTGATATTTTGATTTTGATAAAATAGTTTTCTCAATTCAGGCAATTCACATTTTCGGAAGATAATGATTTAAGAAAAAGTGTAAAAGAATTATTTAGACTTTAATTAAGAAAATTTTTACTAATAGCGAAAAAAAAATTTACAATTTAGAAGCATATGGGATGTTATGTTTATTGGGATTTATAGGGATCCAAATGCCGAATTTGGCGGTGAAATATCAATTGGTGGTATAAATCCTGACCGATATGTTGAACCCCTTTCGTCGCCTGTGCCAGTAACAAGCAAAAGATATTGGCAATTCCAAATGGACGGTATCTTAGGTGGGGGAGAACCAATCGCTTGCGAAAAAGGATGCCAAGTATATTATTATTATCATTATTAAATATTTCATTTATTAAGATATTATATAATAAAAGTAATCAAAAATGTTATATGCTAAATGGTTTATTCTTCTCATTTGAAGAATTTGATGAAAAATAAACTATGTTTAATCCAGTTTCTAACTTCTTCTTTTAATAGCTCTCACCATTATTGGTTAGGCTGGTTCCACTGGCTATAAGGGTACGAGGATAAGACGCTTCAAACTGTTCGATCTGATGCCATCACTGATAGCAATAAAAGCCATCCTTTTTTCCGTCTAAATCCATATGTCGCTGGTTCCTCTGCAGTTCAAAATCTTTCCTGACTGTATCAGTCTAGGTCTTGATTGGCCCATCTCGCCTTTGACGCCACCCATCTCATCAGCGGTTTTTGTCCTGTTGTCTTGCTATGCTTCTTCAAAACGTCTGCTAGCCAGGAACTTTTGCATTCGTGTTTTAGCAGCTTTTTCGACGGCTGCTTTCGATACCCAGCTAGTGCACTTCGTAATGGTATCCTAGGGTGGAAGTGCCGGACCGGAAATATTGTTTCAGTTGGGACAAACATTCATCTGCTGTTCCAGAAAAATCATTGACATTTATGCCATTGAAGTGCTTCAATAATTCAAAATGCGCTCACTCCGAATTTTTTTATATAGTTGAAGGATCTTGAGGAATACTATTGTTTACGAGTTATATTTATATCAATGCTGTTTCTTGCGAGTTGCCAATTTTATGTCTGGTTGGACTGTTGGTCATCCGGTTTCATGCCTCTTCTACGATGCCATGAACATAAATTCATGATGTTCGGATAAAGCGAAAAAAAGATTTCTCCACTGGCGCACCAGATATGCCATATTTGCCAATCACCGAGTTCATCATTACTAACAATTGAAGTTCCGCATAGAACTTATCCTTGTCGAAGTCTGTGGATAAAGTGAGCGCACATATATTGATGAAAGAAATAATGCAGAATTTTCTTTTGAAGCGAACATAGGCTATATGGTTTACTGATTTTCGCTCAATCAGAGCAATGGGCCTTTTCAAACGTAATAATTGATATTTCCGCGTTGTCTGAAGTACCACAATGATATAACCCGTATAACTGCTTGGAGCCACGTTTAGTAGTCATTCGAAACCTGAAATGAAGAAGACTGACTGACTGACCTCGACAAGCAAGCGGCATCCACAGGACATTTAGAAAAAGTGTGGACAATGATCACTTGGCTCTTGCAACATCTATAAGCGTTCTGATGTTCCACGCTGATACGGCCAACTTCTCGCGTACAGAGTCGTTTCTCTTGATAAGTTTCGAGCAGTTACCCTGGCGAGTATATGTTATCCACAAACCTTGGTTTGGTTTCACGACTGAATTTTAAATTTATTATATTTACCATCGAGCTGGGAGTATCATGCGTGTCGGAGGACGCAGACGTAGTATCAACAACATCAGACCCTTTCACCATAGAGTCAGTCGCTTGGGAGTAGAGTTACAGATGGTCTCAAGCATCCACTCGGATTTTTGATGTGACAGGCTTACTCCTGTCCAACTAGAAAAATTTAAGAAGTTAAAAAATTAAAACATTAAAGATCAAAAACTAAATTTAAGGAAAAAATAAAGTTGAAAAAACTTATCGTTTAAAGTGTCCAAGCGAAAAATTCATATAATCAATAACCTTTACTACTTTTTTTTATATCTTGAGATTTATGTCCAAATTTATATCCAGTTTATATCTAACTGCATAAAAATTAAATATTTAAAAAGAAAGTGGTACATTTATGCAAAGTTTAAGCAAATGGAGCATATTTAAATTAAGTACAGAATGGTGATTAATGTATATTAAAAAATATGCATTCCAACATTTCTTACATTTCGTAATTTAAAAAGAAAAGAAAAAAAATTATGCAAATTTCTCAATAATTTAAAATTAATATTGGTTAAATAATGGCTATGAAAGTTTAGATTTCTTAATTTAAGCTCTTTTTTTTCAAGAACCTTAAAAGTTGATCTAAAATAAAAAAAGAAAAGAAAAAGAATGATAGAGACAATGAAAATGAGGGATTCTCAGTTTATCATTAATCATCAAAAATTTATTATTTTAGGCAATTGCTGATACGGGTACATCATTGATAGCCGGACCTAAGGAACAGATAGAAAAAATCCAAGATTACATTGGTGCAGAACCATTATTTAAAGGAGAATACACGATTCAGTGCGACAAAATTCCAACTCTACCAAATGTCACTCTTGTTGTTAACCAAAAGAGTTATATTTTAACTGGCGAAGAATATGTTTTAAAGGTTATTTTTCTGAATCGACCTGAAATAATCCATTTATGTTAGAATTATTAAAAATTCAATACGATTTCAAAATTTTTGTAAGTCTATAACAAATTTTTAAACTTTTCCTGATGAGCATAATTATTCTATAGGTAAGTCAAATGGGTAAAACTATTTGTCTTTCTGGCTTTATGGGTGTTGATCTACCTGGTGTTGAATTATGGATACTTGGTGATGTATTCATTGGACGTTACTATACTGTATTTGATGTCGAGAAGGCCCAACTTTTTTTCGCTCAAGCAAAGAATAGCTATGGTCAAGCTGTTGGTGCTGCTGTTGATCTTTATATTCCACCAAATACCGTTAATACTTACGATAAATAATAAAGGTAAATAATAATTCGTATTTTTAAAAAATTATTATTCAAAAATTTCACTAATTATTGTGTTTTTGTTATCACAATTTATTTTTTTAAAATTAATCTATTATCGATTTTTATTAAAATTATTTTTTCAATATTAACTTTGTAAATTACTAAGAAATTTGTGAATTCGAGGACGAATAACAATAATGACTTTAAATTTAAATTGTTGCGATTCAATCAACTATGTTATTATTGAAAAATACCATAAAAGAATGAAGAACTTAGAAGAATTCAAGATAACGAAAATTTTCCTAACCAATTTTTTCAACATTTTGTATTGAAACAATTTTGTGCTATCAAAAGCACTTATAATGAAAGAATTCCCTTGATTATCGAGAAACTGAGCCCCAACCAAGGTTGAATTTTCAATGATATCACTATATTTCCATAATATCTGAAAAAAACTATGTTTAAAAAATCGTATCCTATCAATCAAATATATCAATTAATAAACATTAAAAATGTGGAGAACCTATCGCCATAAAGAAAAAAATGTGTAGCATCATTACCTTAACTGGCCATCAAGGGCCAAGGAATCGCTCTTGCAATTTCATAGATTTTGTTAGCTTGATACCATAATTTAAGATACAATTTTAAAAAAGACTTAAAATCTTAATCTTAAAAAAGACTTAAAAAAGATCTTAAAAACTAACAATTGGGTCTGTATCCATGAGAAGGCTCCAAACGTGAACAATGCTATCTTCAGCAACAGTTAAGATCTGAAATTAAAAAGCAGTTTATATTTGATACACTTACATATTCATACAAAATTTTAATTTAACTTTTTTGGAAAATTTTTTGAAAATCTGTTGAGTTAAATTCTACGAATACGATTTATGGCAAGAATTTCAGGCATTTTTTTTAGAAAACTCATCAAATCTGCAGGCTTCATTGAAATCAGTAGAAAAAACTTTTATTAAGTGTAACCATACAAGTATTTTGATTTAATTTAATTCAATTCGATTGATTCGATTGATTTAAAATTTAATAATTAATTAAAATTCAAAATTTAACTTAATAGTTTTGATAAATCACGGCTGTATTTTTTATTATTTAAGATTTAAAATGCAGAAAACAAATATTAAATTAATAAATAGTTAGCTGCACAAAGTAAGGTAATTAAAGCAAAACATACATAATTATTGTCACTAGCAGTACTAATAGCATTAATTTGCCTACAATGAGCGTTAATTTTAATTAACAACTGCGCCCCATTTAAAGAATATAGCAATATCTCTCCAATCATTGTTCCAATTACAAGATAATTTTTTAGCATATTGAAGCAATTGATGTCAAATCTAAATAAAATCATTTTAGATTTGATTAAAATTGATTAAGCAAAATAGTTTTTGAAATTCTTTTTTGACATATTTTACCGAATATTTCAAAAAAGATAGTTTGTCTTGAATGCTGTTAATGCTGTTAATGTTAATGCAGTTAATGCTGTTTCATGCACAAAAATAATTGGTAAAACGCGAAGTTATGTCGATTACAAGACCAATTAATATTTGCCGTTTGCTAAAAAAATTCATTGGCTAAATGAAATCGAAATATCGGTTAAATCATAAAAAAAGTCAGCAAACCCAGTGCTAGTGGCACTTTGAATATTTTTCATACTTTTTGTCCAAATAACAATATTACCAACAACATCACATGAACAGATCACATCCTCCGATTCATGTTTAATTATATCAACAATAGCACAATGGTGTTCCTAAAAAAATTATCATTCATATTATCATGCAAGCTTTTTGATGAATCACTTAAATTTGTAAATGAATGCAGTGGAATGGAACTTATAATTCCAAATTTTTACTGCAAAAAAAATATATAAATAAAGACATAAAAAGATATCAAACTATTAAAACTTAAATTTACTTATATTTTAATTCTAAATTTTTGAACTATAAACAGAAATCTCGAAAAACTGCAATGATAACCTGGATCACCTTTTTTGAGCTGATCGAATTTTCGTTTGCGTATTCGAATACTAAAATATCGCCTATATGAGTGCCTAAATTTTTCTTATCATTTAATCCAGTAAAATAAATAATCGTATTAAAGAAAAGAAAATATCAAGTCATCAGATACAACCATCAAATATTGTTACAATATATACATAATATCAGTAAGAAGATTCGTCCTATAGATGTGAAGATCGTCGTGAAAAACAAGCATATCGCTACATGGGTTATATTCCTTCGACACTCGTCAACGCTGCTTCAAACCTTTTATCATCTTTTATTTGCCAAATCTTATATCTTAACAGCTCCAATACCAATTCCTGTGCTTTCTTAATATCCTAAGTTACCGCCATATTCTCTGCGATTTTATAATTTTATACTTGTAGATGAGGTAAAAGTGCACTGCGAAATTTAATGAAGCATTAATGGAAAATGGAGATAAAATGGAGATAAATGAGAAAGATAAATTTCTGAGTATGAAAAAAAGTTGCTACAAATATATCTGAAGGGGGTGAAATAACAGAAAGAAGTTTTAAGATAATCTTAAATGGATTATAGCAATAGAATATAATCTAAAATTAGGTCGTGCGGGTGCTAGAGAGATATTTTTATAGAGATTGAAGGCTTCCACAAAGCAAGAGGTTTTCAAAGGATTGCAAAATTTCAAATGCTATCAACATTCGGTACTGCTATTACGATACTAATTATGGATATTAGTAGAGTGCTGTTTAAAGAAATAAAGGCTCTGAATGGAAAACTGCAACTAATTTTCAAGTTGTAGCAAAGAACTGATTCCTTGGTGTATGGCCTAATTTTTTCCAAGCTCAAATAGCACTATTACTTGTCAATATTACTCGTTTTAGTGGGTAATTTTCTATGTACGAATGTTAAAGAAGGGAGAATGACGAATATTATAGAAACAGCATAAAAATTATAAATGAAATGAAGTGAAGGGAAATGAAGGAAATATTAATGGAAAAATACAACATACCGACAAGTATCAAATTGTTAACCGAAGTTATTCCACGAGTGAACTGTAACGGACAATCGTAAACCTTAATTTGCGTTAAAAATCGATGCTATGTTATTTAATATTATTACATGAAATTTTATAAGATTTCCACTTTTAAACAAAAAAAAGCATTAGCTCATGGTAAGAAATCATTTTTTAAAAAACTGTGGTAAAATATACCCCAGTCAGTGAATTCCAGAATAGAATTTTACAGGTTTTTGGTTCATAAATCTGAAAATTACGAATGAATTAATAAATTTGATTCGGTAAAATTCGCAATTTTTTGGCAAACCTTTAGGGAAAATCATTTCTTTGTTCGACAAAAAAAAAATTTATGTCCAATTGCAGAACGAAAAATTTTCTTGAACTGTTAATGAATAAAATTTAAAACGTTATTCAGAAGTTCAAAAACCAAAAAAAAATCAATCACCATAACTCCTTTGACAGAAGCAATAACGAGTAACGGAAAACTTCGACAAGATACCATACAGTACTTTGCTTGCAATATATTTACTGGCTTATCGTTATTATAATCTTTAATAGGAATTGTGCTGCTTATGAATCCTTCATATTTTTGATCCCAACATATCGTATTCACCTTGCATTTTTAAACCATTTAAAAAAGGAGTGAAACGACAATAAAATTTCATATACAAAGAAAACGATTGGTTATTGACACTGTGACAGAAATTGGTTGGATAGGCGAACCAATTTTCCCATTTCTCCGCCTTATGTTGAAAAAAAAGATTTTAAATTACTACTTATAGAATACACTACAGAATATTTGAAGCAAATCTACCTGTTGTTTATGAACAATGCATGCATAAGTTAATTTCTTCGATTCATCATAGTGAATATCTAAATTATTCGGAAAATTCGAAGCACTACCATTCACCATGAAAATTTCCTTCGAAAGTTCATACATATCTGCAAGGATGATTGATAAAATCGCAAAATTTCATATAACTTTGTCAGTCAAAATTTATGAATCGAGATCATCTGTAAGAATCATATGAAATTTGAAGATAGTTTACCTGACCGATTATAAATTATGTAACTCGCCAACAATTACCCCCAAAAAATTCGTACGAAACGATTATGGCGATATAAATCGCTACCTGGAATTAACGACAAAAAGGGTAATTTTTAAGTTAATCCGTAATTATATACAATCTGCTGCAATGTTACCATGGAAATTCCTAATTTATTGACAAAATTATGCAAAAACTTATTTATTTTCAATGCATCGCTAAAACAATGTATTCATATAAAATCAAGCGTGTAATTTTCCAAACGAATTACGAAATAAATGCTAATAGTTTTATGCAACTGTCATATATTAATGGTTGTATAGAATTCCATTTCTCCTATATTATTTTCACTCATTGCATATGTCTTTTTGTTGAATTTTTATTACATAATTACATAATTAAAAATAAAGTAAAGAAAAAATGATGATATACTACGAATTTTCATAATACGATATGTTTTTTGCATCGAATGATCTTTTTATGCATCACATCACGTTTTTCGATATTAAAGCATGACAAATACAGGGAGCAATGCGAAGATTTTAATGTTAATTGTTCGATAAAAAACAATTTAGAGACTCAATCATAAGCTTCAAATTATAAAAAATTTCAGACTAAGAAGACATATATACACCATACGATTTCAAAGAATTTTGAAAATCACGATTTTCCTCTTTTATAGCCATCCAATCCTTCATCATTTTCTCTACCATTTCGTCGATTCCTTTTTGCTGTTGGATATTAATCTATAAAACATTCGGATCTTTTCCCTTCATGGAAATTTTTAAATCTCTAAAAATTTTCTAAAATTCATAAAGTGAAAAAAAAATAAAACTTCATAATTGATTTCATCGATTTCACAACTCAGCTGCCCAGATGCTTCGATCTCAGTAATAATCAAACAACATTCTTCATGAATTTTCACAAGTAAACGATATGCTTTTTGCATCGAGTGATCTTTCTGCGCATCCTAAAATCGTTTTTCGATGAAACATATTAAGATTTTAAAATTAAAAATAGCAAAAAATAATTGGTGAAACAATTTTGATAGAAGTAACTCACCTTATACAACCGGTCCTCTACTATAGTAAAAATGCGTTCCAACTTTCCATTCAGAGTTTTGATTTCTTTAAACAGCGTATTATTAGCATTCACAACCTGCGACAAATATTAATATTAATAGAGACATGAATATAAATAGCTGTTAAAATTATTTTTTTATAATGAACTTTTTACAGAATATTGACAGCAAATAAAGATTTTTTCCACAATTCTATACTTTAACCCTACAGTGATGCCATATTATAACATTCTATAACCTTACAGTGATGCCATATTATAACATTCTTTTTCTGCTATTTTAATCTTATCAGAATTACCAAAAAAATGATAGGAGGAAATTTTACTATACACATTTAAAAAGACATTATAAACAAATAAAATTTAGAATTCGTGTATGACAACTTTTAATAAATACCTTTTGAATCTCCGCCTGTTGTTTCTTGATATTTCCAACAATTTCCAATATATGTTTCACATAAGAATGGCGATTCAATTTCTTTTGATTTACCATTTCCACTTGTTTTTTCTCAAATTAAAAAATTTAAAAAAATCTGCAAAATGAATGAAAATCATGCCGTGTCTTTTGAAGATTATTAATGAAATATTGAAATCGTATGCATAAAATATTTGGTTCATGTGCGCTTGTAGGAGGCAAAGTTATGACCACAAATTATGAATTATTGCCACCTCCTGATATTTCCAAAGCGTAATATTTTTAAAACTTTCCAAAATCCTTTTAATATCTTTTTAAATACAATTATACTTTGTTGTAACCCTACGGTGCCATATTATAACATTCTTTTTTTGCTATTTTAATCTTATCAGGCCTCCATCCACCCTCAACAATAATTGCCTAAGGTCGCAGTAAAAAATTATAGAACAGCAAAGAGAAAAAATGCCTACTGTGACATGACGCTGATATAACGTGAAGTCGATGAAAGGGAGACGAAAAACGAGAGATGTTAAGTTGGAACAAGAAGTATTAAGAGGATGTTTTAAAACATTATAGCAGAATTCAAATAGGTGTTGAGGAAATATAATTTTGAGATCTCAAAGGGTCTAATCGGGTTTAAAAATGGTTCTCCCAGCTTGTAAGGTGTTTTTTCGTAAATTAAGATGATACAAATGATAGAATGTAATGATGTAAATTATGACGCAAATGATAGAACATCACATAGATTTCATTACGAATACGAATAAACACATAGTTTCGAAAAGAATGCTTTCTAGATCGTCAAAGGAGGAAAAGCGAAAAAAAGTGGGACAATCGCATTTCTTTACCCCCGATATAAAAAATTATTACAAAGATAATCAAAATATGTAGATAAATCTCCGATTTTTCCTCCAAAAAATAAAAAAAAACCATCGAAAGAAACCCTCACCAAATTGGATAAATCTGCTAGCCTTATAGGCAGCTCAATCTCTAAATCTCTAATAGTAGCCAATAATTCAGAAATTTCGAGGCGAATAGAATTTGTATTAATCTGAAAAAATTTCAATTTTCATTCACTTATCTTTTAATTTTAATTTCTAATTTTTTAGCATTATTATATTAAGTTAACTTTATTATATTAAGTTTTAACAAAAAAGGTAAAAAACGAAAAATGAATGGAATTTTTTATTCATGCACTTGAAATCCTATCCACTTGAAAACATTGAACATTAAATTAAAAAAATATTAAATCATTAATAATCACTAACAGCTGATTTATATTTTTTGCATAAATCGTCAAATTCTTGATCCTTTTCTGCTTTCGTTTTTAACCAACTATTCTGAAGCTGCTCCATGCGTTCATCGCTTGTAGAAATATAATTCTAGAAGAAATATCTATATTAAATGTTGAATTTTTCACTGTTTTTAGAAAATTCCTGATGGATTTTTTTTCTTATTTAGTTATTTATTTATTTATTGCAATTATTTATGAACCAATGAATCTTCAGTGACAATGCTTCCTACAAATGATTAATACGAATGATGAATTTATTAATTCATTAAAATTAACTAATGAAAATGCAGCAGAATATTGAGGAAAAGTTTTTGCGAATAAAGATAATGAAGTAAAACACACCATAAGTTTAGTGACTGCTTCAGGTTCTTCAAGCAATTTTACGACTCTTGTGTCCATTTTCGATAATTCATTTTCTAAGTCAACTAAAGATGCCTTCAGGACTGAACATTTCTCTTGTTTCTAATATGATAAAAAATAATATAATTTGATTTTTAAAATGCCACAGAGTAGCATAACAAATGTTACTTATATAATCAGTTGAAATGTATTCAAAAAAAAACTCCTCTAATCCTCACTAACTTGCCATATTTACGGGTTTTCAAATACAAGGTACCATGAATTTAAGGAAATTGTTGATCGAAAAAACATAATGGAGCTTGAATGTCGGCAGGAAAAAAGAACTTGTACAACGCTACTTGAGTCCCTAAGAATGTTAAAGGAAGAATGGCAAAAAGCAAATAGAAGCAAAGCAAAACTAAGGGCTTATGACGAAAAGCGAATGCTTTTGCACAGGATGCCAATGGAATCCAATGAAATTTGAGAGAATTTTAAGGAAGTATAACGAGTCTTTAGAAAGTATCGATGAATCGATGCAGGAAAAAAAGACCTTTTTGTTTACCCTTTTTTAAATTTGTCTGCAAATATGGTAATATGCAAGTAGATTTATTAATATTAGATTAATATGCAAGTAGTAGCAAATATGCAAGTAGATTTTACAGGATTTTTGAAAAAGAAAGCTTTTGAAGGACATAAAATTCCAAAATGGCAAGCCGAGATTTTGTAGGCATTTGACAACTTTTTCAAAATTAATGGGTGATACAAGGGCAAAAGAGACGATTGCAGTATATAAGGACAGTGAAGTTAAAGAAATACATGTTTTACGGCTAACTTTAATGGGTAACATTTTGGGGATATGAAGGTTATGTTATGACGAAATCATCACTCTAATTCCCTCTATGCTTTTTCATTGTTCATATGCGGCCGCAATAAAATTATATTGCGAAGCTTACTGATGCATAAATGCAAAAAATGGATGTAGGTAATATCCCATGTGGGCAATAAAGTGGCTTCAAGAGAGTTAGAACGCTAAAAAGGGGTTTAAAAAGGTATCTTCACCAAATTGGAAAAAAAAGGCAACAGAAGCACTAAGGAGATATTTGGTGAGGTTTGAAAGGATAATGAAGGGTTTCACACGGAGAACCGATTTTTCGCAAGCTGAATAACGGTATTTTAGAGAGTATTAATGGATGATAACAAGGGAATAAAAAAAGACCTGGCAATAAATTAGGGCTTTAAAGAGGGATCCAAGAAGTTAACAAAGATTTAAGGTGTTATTATCAGATTTTGAATGAAGAATAGAGAGGTATAAAACGGCGAATGGTAAAAAGGATTCAAGGAATTGCAGAGAATAAGAATTAGCAAGTTCTAGGGAATAAATTACAATAAATTTGTTAAAACGACATGACAAAAGACCAAATCGAAATTTGGTGGAACAACAATGGAATATAATAGAGTTAAAGGATTAAGGGATGAAGTGTTAAGGGAAATAATGGGTTCCGAAAGTGAATTGTTGCTGCACAGCAAGATTATTATGAGAAGATATTCACTGAGGAAAAATAAAAGATCATTCGGAATGAATGAATGAATGGTATTGTAAATGGAAATAATTGGATCTAAAGAATATCATTTAAAGCATAAAGATATGATAAAGATGGAGAAATAATTTGGAAAATTTCGCAGATTCTGCTAAGAATAGATAAGTTCCTAAACACATACACACATCGACCCAAACACAGTAAATTATGTATTTGAAATATTTGAAAATGTAAAAAAATAGAAATAATTTTTATTTTAATCCATTATAATTTAAAGGTTAAACCTCTTTAAAAAGTGCACTTTTACGCTCTAACAACGACTGGTGAATTTTAATTTGTTCCATAAGTATAGCAGAATATAGAGCTTGACCCGCATCGCCATTTGAAATTTCATCATTTTCCAAAATTTCATCTTTCTCTACATAAACAGATTCGTTATTAAGTTCGATGTTCTGAAGTTTTGTTTTATCGACTGCCTTTACTAATGGTTTTGGTTTCGGCCTAAAATTAATACCATTCATAATATGATTATAAGACTTGAATTTCAATAAGCCTATTTAACCTACAGTAATGGAGGCTTAATCGGTGGATTTCTTTGTTGAGCTTGTTCTGTCAGCGACCAGGTAGGCAAATGACCACAAGAGGAAATAAGTCTTACACCAGAAAAATTTTTTTCAAGAGAAGCACAAATTAAAGCACGACTTCTATAACGGAAATCGCTTTCATTAAAGGAAGTCTTGACATCGCCATTAAAACCAGTGTAAAAGAATCGACTTGGAAGTTCCTATGAAGAAAAAAACATTCAAAACTTTATAATATGTTATAACTGATAAAAAACCATATTTCATCATGAATAGTTAATTATTCGAGAATTAATTAAAATTTTTTCCCATGAAAAGAAAGTAAAAAATAGACTAATAAAAAGGTATTTTACCGAAGAAGATGCCGAATAATGTAAGTTCTCATACAATCCAGACTTTTTACTCTTTAAAACATCGACAGCATCACGGAATGATTGCGCTAATACACCTTTATTTAATTTAGAATATTTAATTTGAATTGTAGCACAAAAAAATCCCTCTTTGACGTGAAAGTGTTTTAAGAGTTAGGAAAAATTTAGGAAAAAAGAAAAACATTAGAAAAAAACAAAAAATTCTGCTATCTTTTCATAGAAATAATTCAAAAAACATGAAAAAAATGTTCAGTTATCAAAAAGATTTAAAAATTTTATAGAATAAGAGTTTAAAAATCAAAAAAGTTTGATAAATAAAATAGAACGAAATAAATAGAATTTTTTATAAATAATTGAATCAAGATAAATCAGTGAATAAAAAAATTTAATTATTCTCAACCACTATTAGTTGTAGTTGATGAAGAATCTTTCGGCAGTTTTTCGATAAGACCAATAAATATATTGCGTAACTCATTCGATTGACCATATAACAAGGTTTGATAACCAATTCTATCACGAACTCCGATTCGCTGCAAATAAATTCACATATAAAAGTGTTACGCCTCTAAACAGCCTGAAAAAAGGCTTAGGCTTGAATTAACCTAACATAGAATTAAGCAAACAATTCCATGAAAAAAAAGTTAAATAACAAATTTGTCAACAATTTAAAAAAAACAAATTAATTAATCGCTGAAAATAATGAGTAATTAAAATTACTTGTATAGCACCAACGACATCAGTGGCAGCGCGAAACCGCGAAGTCATATTGGATGGAAGTTTCGCTGATTTAATAAACGATCTGCAATTAAAAAGGATTTGATAAGAGATTAAAATTATAATTGTGTGAAATATTAACCAAATTAAATTAAATTAAAAGACGGAAAATATTATAAAATGAAAAACAAAATACACAAATGCATATAAATTTCCTAAAAGAAGAACCTCACTGATGGATCACACTGCCAAATAAATAAAACGATTGCTTCATAAATTTTTTCACTATCAATTTCCTTGAGGTTCGTTGGAATCGAAGAGAATTCACAAAAAAATGTGCTAAAATAATTTAAACATTAATTCGCCCTTAAAAATTATTTTGATGAAAGACCGAAAAAAATTTTTTACGATATTCGGCAATTTAATAAAAGGGGATATCACTTTTGTTAATAGGTAAGGAGAGTAAATTGCGAGAAACAGTGAATCGGTGGGAGATATAAGAAAAAGGCAAAGTAAGGAATGCGAAGCAAATATTCGAAAAGCTTTTCCGAGCTTTTTTTGATAGCAAAACCTCTGGAAATTTTCAAAAAGTTTAAAGAATTTACCTATCGAGTTCGATTATTTTTTCGATGATAAGACGATCAATCATTTCCATTATTCCCAAATAATTTTCGTAGATAAATTTTTCAACAAAAGATTTTACTTAAATATTACAAATAAAAGCATAAATTATAGGGAAATACAACATAACAACATGAAAATGAAGTATTTGCAAACTTTACATAAAATTGGATAAAATAAACAAAGTTTTAACAAAAACTTTAACAAAAACTGCAATATCGCCATTTTAGCCGAAGCAGTACCACAGTTCGCCTCCCACCAAACAGACTGAACCCTCTAACTAAGATTTTGAGCTAAATAACAATGAGCAACACAACACTGAGCGACAGTTACATTTTACATAAAGCACATGAATTTTCAGTAAAAGCCGACAATTAGTAAAACTAACTTTCAGCACGGTTAGACAATAAGTTTTTCAAAACATTGCGATAAGTTGCAGCCGCGCTTTTCGCGGCGAACCAAAGGAGAAATCGAGCAGTCGGGCGGCACAGGAAAACAATTTTAATTTTTAAGGAAGTCGATTTTTATTTTCGCCAACCGATGAAAACAGACTAGTGCACCAAAGACTTAAGGTGGCGACAGGTCGCCCATCGTTCCCACGATGGCACCGGCTTTATTTAACCGCACCCCGCTGATTATCGATACTACGGGACAATTCTGCCAAGAGGAAGAAATTAGAGCACGGCGTCGATGCGGTTGTTCAGGAAACAACCACTCCTTGGTCTTCTGAAGTCGGTGCTCCGCACTCGTCTGAGATTCATTCGTCTCCTGAAGACAAGCGCCAAGTCCAAGAACAGTATAAAATGAACCATCACACTTTCAAGAATTGGAGGCGTAAATTTTTGAAGTTAAATGAAAATGAAATTTTAAGCAAAAATGTTAAATGAACAAATGAGCAACGACCAATTATTTAATTCAAAAAGCCAAAACTTCATTTCAATTTTGAATAATTGTAAAAAATCAAACGAAAACGTGAGCGAATTAAAAAAACATGAAAAAATATGTTCTAATAATTTATGAATGAAATTAATTATCCACAAATAAAAATAACAAATAAAAAATAGCTGGGAGACATACATATTTAGTACTAAACTATTAGTAGTCCATTTAAAAGGAAAGTGTTTAAGTGGAAAATTATAATGAAGAATCAACTACTTAGAGATTTAGACATCCCTTGCAATAAATGCATAAAATTGTCGAATACTGATATTCGTTGCAAAACTATAGTAAAACAATACTCAGAAATACTAAATTTCATTTTTTTGTAGTTCAAAGACTTACCAAAGTACGAAAAGCTTTCTTCTGGTCTCTTCTTAAATCTAATACAACTAATTAGTACTTCGCTTTATACATCGCCTCTCTTATAATAGCAGCCATTATAAACCTCAGCAATACAACTCAGACTCATTCGCAAAAATTTAATTCATGCATATCAAATTCTATATGGTTTTGTTAAACTAGATTCAAAATATTACAATTTTAGATTAAATTTGAACCCAATAAGATCTAATGGGCTAAAATTATTGAAACCTTTATGCAATACTAAATTAAGAACTCATGATTTTTTCATTCGCACCATTAATTTCTGGAATAAACTGTCGAATGATAAAGTTTTTGCATTATCCTTAGCTGTTTTTAAAAAATTATTCTTCAAAAGTTCAAATTATGCGAGAAGTCTGAAATCTTTTTATTTGTATTATTTCGCTTTGCATTATTAGCTTTTGGTCATATTTTCTTCGTATTCTGCGTCGATATCATTAATTTCCTTTCATTTGAGGCATAATTTGTTAGTTGATGGCGCTTGTCGCCCTGCTTGTTATCAAATAAATAAATGAGTAAACTGGAAAATTGTGTTATTAGGCCCATAGCAAGTCCCTTCATTTTTGCTCACAATACTTTCCACTACCGCAATTTTTTTATTTTTCACTGTTTTTTTACTATTCTTTAATAAGAATTGACTTTATTCGCTGCAAATTTATAATTAACTTCAATTCAATTGTCTAGCTCCAGCAGTCTATTTCATCTCCACCTATCATTTTTTTACAACCTTTTACAAATGAATAACCGTTGCTGTGGACCAGATAACTGGAAAATACTGGAAATAGAAATATCATAGAAGATATATATATATAAGTAGAGTAATCACAGTTCTGTTGTGCACATCGGCAATATTTCTCAGTTAGTCTGGATCAACTGACATTTCACGAATCTGAAAATCATTTACAAAAATTAATGAAATGAAAAAGCCAACTTTATACTTTCATATTACTAGTGATATTGGAACTGTTCGATATATTATTCATTTACAATTAAAAACTTTAAGCACAATAAGCACAAGAAAAGAAAATCTTATTGATAATTAATGGATAAAAAATCAGCGAAAGACATTAAATACTTATCCTTGTGCAACAGATGTGAATGGCCAGCACCACCCGAAATATAGACCATTTTCGAAACATAGTTTACTCCTACCGCACCTATCGCAAGCAGAACGCTATCACGGCGTTTATTCATTTATAACACTTTAAATTTATATTATTACATTAAATTGAATAGTTCGAAAATTCAGTTCGAAAATCAGCCACTTCCACGCTAGGGCATACTAGTAGGAAGTGCGCTAGTTGGGTATCAGAAGCAATTGTCCAATTGTCTGAAAAAACTGCCAAAGCACGAATGTTAGGTGATCCTGACTACCGAGTGCTTCGAAGATTCGCAACGAAAGCAGCAAGGTGGGACAGAAATCTCTATTGGAGTGAGAAATCTCTATTGGAGCATGGCCTCAAGAATGGAGGTGGCGGCTCGATTAGGCGACAATAAGAAACTATTCTGCCTTCTTCATAAAGCAATTATGACTCGGGAAACGATCAGTGAAATGGCAAGGGATAGCAATGGCGTATCGATCAAAAAAATATTAAGGACCGCCTCATAAGATGGAAAGAGGCCAAACTTAACCAATGGAAAGAACTCTTTGAGGCCAAAGTTAACCATGAAGCGCTATCTGTTGCCCCTGACATAGCTGATACTTTTATCGAAGCATACGCTTGCAATTGCGAGCCTCCAAGAGAAGAAGAAATAATTTCAGTTATCCATAAGCTTAAGGCCAACAAAAATCCAGGAGAAGATGGTCTTCGGGCTGACCTTTTCAAATGCTGTCCATAGTCCTTCATAAGGCACCTTCAACAACTCTTTAGTATGGAAAAAAGAAATATTACCAGATGATTGCAGCAAAGCAATTCTGCTCCCAATTCTCAAGAAAGGTGATAGGACATATTGCGACAATTATTGAGGAATCAGCCTATTAGACGTCTCAGCAAAAATTTTTGCTTCCCTGCCAATCAACAGACTTATGGAAGTACGAGACAGCAGGATGTGCCCTAGCCAAGCTGGTTTTAGACCAGGGCGCGGTTGTACTGACCAGATATTCACGTTAAGAAGGGTGTTGGAACATCGCTTCAAATATTCAAATATTTGCAACCCACTATCACGTGTTTCATCGACTTTGCGCCTGCCTTTGATTCAATTAATAGAGCGGCGCTTCGGAGGGTGATGGAACGTGATGGTGTTGCAGAGAAAATCATTAGATTCATAAAGGCATTTTATGAGCGCATGTCGGCGCAGGTCTGTGTATATGGGGAGCTGACAGATTCCTTCGAAATAAGAACAGGTGTCCGTCAGGACTGCGTCCTTTCCCCCACAATATTCAATTATGCGATAGATTGGATAATGGACACTGCTTGTCGGCACTCAAGAGGTGTCCGAATTAGTCCAGAGCATCGTATCAGCTGATGATGTAGTTCTTTTTGCTGACAGTTATAACGAAATGCAAGTAAAAGCAAATAACGTGTCAGAAACTGCAGCAAGAATCGGACTCAGGATCAATGTAAATAAAACGAAAGTCTTTTCGCCCTATGTGCAAGAAGCTAATAAAATGCCTCTTTTTGCAAATTCATTGCCGGTTGAGGAAGTGCTTGATTTCAAATACCTTGGGTCCACTCTAATACCAAATGGACAGGCAAAAGATGAAGATGATATTATGAAGATGACTCGGATCACGACATCTAAAAATGCGTTTCTCCGGTTAACGAAATCTTTATGGAATCGTCGTGAAATCACCATAAAAACGAAAGTCCGCATCTATATTGCCGTGATCCGTTCGATTCTATATGGTTTTGAGACATGGCTAATGAGAGTGGAGGATATTAAGAAGTTATCTGCCTTTGACCACTCTTGTCTAAGGTATATTTTACGGGTTCGCAAGTGGATAAAACCTCACAAGAACGCATCCACCTTCGTTCAGATACCACTTGCATAAATAATGTTGTCACAGAGCGCCGCCTTCGCTGGTTACGGCACATTCTTCGCCGTCCACCACAGAAGTTGACGCATATTTCGTTATTTGCTTAACCATGTGACGGTTGGCGTCAAAAGCGAGGTGGGCCAATCAGGACCTGGACTGATACGGTGAGAAAAGATTTTGAACGTATAGGTGGACCAGCAATATATGGACTTAGACGATGGAAAAAGGAATGCTTCCTTTTATTACTGTCGACGATGGCGTCAGATCTCGCCACTTGGAAGCGTCTTACCCTTGTAGCCGTTGGAGCCAGCCTAACCAGTAATGGTGAGAGATGTTAGAAGAAAAAGAAGAAGAAAACTGAATATTGCATTATTTCAAAATTACAGAGAAATTCAAACGGCGATTCATTTCTTCTTTATGACGACGCTGCATTTCTTCCTTTTCTTTTTCAATTTTTTTTAGAGCTAAACGAACTGAAATTGTATCCAATTCACGTTGATTTGCACGTTTTCCATCCAAATACACCTGAAATTCCACCAAATAGAAAGAAATTTCAAAAAAAAAATCCTTTTTATAAATCAAATATTATTTAAAATTTAATTTAAAATTTAAAATAAGAAAAATAAGTTGGTTCGTAGCACAAAATAAAATAAAAAGTGGAATGTTTCATACAAAAAAAAGAAATAAAGGAATAAAAGCAAACTTCAGCCGCTCGATCATCGAAAGATTCGATAACTTTAGTCCTATACTCTATGAGCTGTCGTATTGGATTACCCCGAAGGACGAGATGCTCAAGACATGGAAGTTTACCTATTGGTTGTATACAGCTTGGTTCTGCAATAATATTGTCACTCAAATCCAAATATTCCAACGATAGCAATCTTTCAAGTCCTAAATATTTGGGAGATAATAAAATAATTTACAGATAATTTACAGAAAAAAAAAATTAATTTAAAAAAAATAATTAATTAAAAATCAAAAAAATTTAATTAGAAAATTAAAAAATTTTTTTAAATATTACCTTGTACAGATGTGATTTTATTTTTGCATAAAAAAAGCTTTTTAATATTGCCAAGTTTTAGATTCCAATTATGCAATTCTCTTATCATATTGCCAGTCAAACAAAGTTCAGCCAAAGTTGTTATATACTGTAAACTTTCGCCGATATCTCGCAAATTGTTGTATGAAAAATTCAGTTTAGATACTCCTTGAAGCACTGTCTTAAACAATTTGAATTATAAAGTAACTGAAATTAAGAGAAATTAATACAATAGAGCCACGAATTTGATCTAATTCTTTAATGCGAAAAAATACTGATTCTCTCTTTTTTGAAAGCAATAAAAAATTTATGATCCATAAAAATAGCAATTTACGGAAACGCCAACTGACTTACTATAGAGTTATCAATTTCAATGAGTTCGTTAAATGAAAAATCGACATATTCAATGCAGTTCCACTTTTCTAAGTCCTCATCGAATAAACCACTATTAAAATTCAACAGCAAATCCTGCAGTTTATACGAAACGATTAAAAGCCAAATGCTCAGTGTAGCTGCCAACTAAGACTTATAAATTATTTTGATCAGATTGATCAGATTCTTAATATACCTTAAAATAACCTTTATATAATTAAATTTTAAAAAATATTGATAATTAACTGACCGACAATTTTTTCATAGAATAATGAACAATAAGCCGTCTACATGTTTTCTTCACATTTGTGAGATTTTTGATCTTCTTCACATCGAAATGCGCGATCTGACATTAAAATAAGACAATTTAATTTAATTAATTCAATAATCAATCTTCAAAGAACGAAAATTAAATGCTTTGAAAAATAAACATTCTAAGAAAATCGAAAAAAATAAAAAAAATCGAAACATTTGGGAGCATTAAATGGAAATATTTTCAGCAATAATTTAATGGCCATTTAAAAATGACTTATGAAAAAAATAAAAAAATTAAATAAAATTCTAAAATAATTGTAGCAAGATAACAAAAAAATATATCGAACCCATAACGCAAGCAAACTTTTGCACAAATGTAGGCTGACTGGCAAATCATTATGCAAAATATTTGAAGAATTAACATAGCCTGAAGAACCACGGATTTTCAGTGCGCGTGCTTTATGAAGAAATTCAACGTAATTTGCAATATCTGCTTCTCCATTTCCTGTAAACTAATACTTGCCAGACTGGACTGAAAATATTCCTGTAATGAATTGCCTTGTCCCTTTAGAAAATGAAATTTTTATATTACTACCTTAATTCACATCCAAAAATCCACAACAAAGAATCAATAAAAAATATTAAATGCCACTGAAATTAAATCTCATTAATAAATTATTAAGACAGCAGTAAATCACAGTAAGAAGAGATTCCAATTTTTCATAAGCTCACATACCGTTTGAAGAAGCACTGAAAGATGGTTCAGCTAATTTTAAACGTTCTGATAATGCAAACAATTCGATTGGTTTAAATTCAAAGAATTTTGGTTTGATGAGACTCGCTTCCAACCATTTTTCACCAAGCACACCCAACCGCAAAGAGAGATCCTCAACAATTGAATGGACTTCCTGAAATTACTCTCAAAAGAAAGGACCAATATACGACGAAATACCTAAAGAATATTAGATATCATACAAAATTAAAAAATAAGCCATCCAACAAAATTCACTAAAAAACCATTAAAGTTGACTTTTAACATTTGAAGTTTCCATGAAATATTTGAACACCACCAATGCCAACAAAAATGACTACTGAATAAATGAATATATACAGAAATGAAACATATGAAAGAGATGTATAAAATGTGAATGTTTATTATCAATTTTCAGTATTAATCTACAAATAATAAAGGAAAAAAAATAAAAAGTTTTAATAGCGACAGAAGAAAAATTTACGAAGAATCCCTTTATAACTCTCATGCTAATATCATTCGCATCTCGACGAAATTATTATATTTCAGCTTCTTACTCAAAATAACTAAAAGTTATAATTATCCAAATCGTATTCATATTCTTGATAATTCAGTAATTTCGTTGCAAAATATCACAAAAGGTCAACCTTTGAACATAACAGCAGATGGCTAATCGACACTAAATTGTTAATGATTGATATAAATTACCAGTAATGGCTGAATAAGTGCTCAGTTGGAAATGCAAAAAACTAAAATGGATAATAAATGAAAACAAAAAATATTAATATGAAAAAATCTTGGAAAATTTTTTGAACATCTTAAATTCCACTTTTAAATCAAAATGCCAAACACAAAAACGAAATAATGGTCAGAACAGTTGGAAATGCAGTCAAAAATCATGGTGGTAAATCAGCATCAACAGCACCTAAACCTAAAACGCCTAACATGTCTACGAGCACAGTGTCGCAAATTAAATGCAAAAAATAGACGGTGACAGTGGAAGATATTAAGGTGATATTAAGGTTTATATTAAGATTTTCTAGTGTGTCCATTTCAAGATGCCTATAATATGTACTTTCAAAGCGAATAGAATTTGCACTTATCTCCGTTCAAATGTATTTATATCGTCACAGAGTAAGGTTTATGATGGTTAAAAGTATATTTTTCAAAGCTCATTATGAAAAATGGCACATATCTCACTATGTGCTAAGTCTAGCGACTAAAACCAAAAATGGGGAGAACAGAACCAGAGCTGGATAGAGATTCACGACTAGGAGATGTTGAACACAAAGGCAGTCCCAGGTCCATATATTATATTAGACTTAAACAGTGAAGAGGAGTGACTCCAATTATTTTCAGATTTTGCTTCATAACTTCATAATGATAGGCCTGAAAACAATTCACTGTTGTGGTCAGCCTAATCAGTGAAGGAATTATGAAATTAATTCAGAAATCCAACATTCAGGCCCATGAATCAATAAACAGCTCACCATTAATTTATCCAGCAGCAATATGGAATAGGTAACCTAGGAAACCAACTGTAATTCTACCTTATAATGATCTTTGATTAAAAGATCTCATCTCAGTGATCAGTGGAGCTAGTTAAGCCCAAAAATATTGAGTGATATCAGAAAAATAATTCAAAACATAATGAAAATTTCAAAAAAACTATTTAGAAAGAAAATCAATTCTTTAACTGAAAACCAATTATTTTAGAGACAAATAAATGTCTTCAAATTTTAGGAAGTAATACAGGATAGTAATGGTTATCTGTTAAGGCTGTAAGGATCGATTTGTACAGTTGAAGGATAATTCTTTAAGGTCAAACTTAACCACGACGAACTATCTGCTATTCCGGTTAGTTGAATCGCTCGCCGAGTCATATGTTTGCAGTTGCATTGCAAGCTGCCAGCAGAACAGGAAATAATGCCTATTATTCAGAACCTTTAAGGTTAAAAAAAAAAACCTTTAAGACCAAAAAACTTCAAAAAAAAATGGTTTTAGAATGGCTGAAATCTTTAAATATTCTCCATCATTTTTCATAATACATCTTCAACAAATGTAATCTCTGGTATGGAAAAAAGAAATAATACCAAATCATTGGAGCAAAATAATTCTGAATGATGAAATTCTGCTCCAAATTGCTAAAAAAAGGTGTGACAGGACACCCTATGACAATTGCTGAGGAATCAGCCTATTAGAAATATCAGGGAAAATTTTAAACATAAATAAAATGTACTCGAAAGAAGTGGATGTGAAGAAGGGCTAAAGGTGATTTCGAAATTTGGAAGTGAAAAATTTTTTAAATTATACAGGACAGAACGTCTTCGTCAATCGAAAGCCTGCAACAACCAAAAGAAAAGGCATAATCCTCCAAAATGACAATGCAAAAGCGCTTCCTTCGAAAAATATAAGCTATCAGGAAGTTTGGCTGGGAAGTCCTATTTCTTTCATCTTATATCTCTTTCATTCCCCTTCAGAATGACTTGAAATAAAATTACAAATTACAGTCTAGGAAGAACGAATTACTAAAAAGGAAGGAGGTTCATGAATTGACAGATGAGAAAAATTGTAAAAAAAGAATACAAACTAAAAACTTATTTTAACTCATATTTTCGATAAAAAAATTGATTACAATAAAATGAAGCAAATCAGCTTGCCAGTAATTATTTTTCAAATTCATAAGTTTATTATTATTATCATTCTCCTATCTTTATCATCGGTGACAAATACAACAGGAAGCAAGATCGTAAAACCCATCATAAGTATCTTCCAGTGGAGCGAAGCAAAAGTAGTGAACGCTGATCGACTGATTTATATAAAATCTAAATTTGACTAATTTATCAGTATGTAGCAAGCATCCGCCATTTTCTGGCTGTGCTTGTGCCACTGGCTGTTGGTATTTGAAAATTGCCAGAGAAGACGACAGAAATGCAAATGGATTTTTTTAATGATAGATTTCGTGTGACGATGAGCAGACTTGGAATATTTGCCTCTCAATAGGATAACCTCAGTCATCACGCAGTCCACTTTTTCGCTTCTAAAGACTTCTATAACCTGAAAAAATTCCACTCGAACTGCTCCATTACACGACTTTTTTTAAGTAATTTTGCTCTATTTAAATGTAATTTTTTGAGGCAAAAACGCTAAACAGTTAAGATAAATAATAAAAATAAGATTCGAATTATTTATCCATTTTATGAGAATTTATCCAATAATATTTATAAGCCAGTCAGTGCTGTCGGCAGTAAAATTCTATTGATCAAATACGAAGAAAGGAAGAAATTATTTGACTCAAAACGCCCAAATCGCCTGACGCTAACGGCAACAGCGACAGCCTAGCAATGTCCTCATCAGTGTTTATTTTATCCTTCGAAAAACCGAAAACAATAACCGCAGTGAAAACGATGATTGCCTTTTATTGTTTTTCAAAGCCTTTTTATTTTAATTAATTATTAATTTGATTTAATTTATAATTATATTATAAATTCGTAAATTCATATAGTTATTTCTTAATAAATTTCGAATATTTTAAAAAAATTTCGAAAAAAATTTTTGCGTCGCAATTAATCTTTAATGAAAAAGCAAACCGATTTTAATTCATTTTAAAATAATATTACAGCGAAGTATAATTCTATAATTCTATAATTCTTTATAAAGTCAAGCGATGGTTTTTTCTCGAATATATTTGCAAAGGTGAATTAAAATAATTTTCGAAAATAAAAATTCCATGGCAAATTTACGATGCGCAACAATGAGGGCAATACTAGAAAAGCAAGCATAACTGCTCTTGACGATACTGAAATTCCAGGTATGTGATGACAATGATATTAATACTTTTATCTCATATTATTGATAAAATAATTGAGATCAAAGTTTCACATTCCTCTTTTAATTCGTTCTATAATTCCTTGATAGACTCCTTATCATTCTTTTTCCTCTGTCAACCTTAACATTCCTTATTTTTCCAGAATTGTCCTTCTTGTCATTTCATTAATTGCCGTGTCGTGTATCTATTTTTTTATTTTCTTATTCTCTTTTATTGCATTTATTTTCAAACTATTTTAATTATTATTTCGATAATATCGAAATATTTTAAAATGCAAAATGCAATATCCCACTAATTTTATATTTTTTTTGCCACAAAAGCGGAGTTAAGAGCCACAATTAATAATTACGTCAAAAGGAGTAAACCTGTACAAAAATCCGGGTGATGTTGGCGACTCACCTGTATTTATATTGCCGAGGGACTCCCTAGCATATTGCTCAATTGTGACAAGCCAGCGGAGTGAGTTTAACCAGCACTGGTGAGATTCTTAAAAAAAAAAAAACTAATTTTATATTGCACTATTTCCTTTTATTTTTATAAAAAATTTTATTAAAAATATAAAAAATAGACGAAAGTTTTTCACTTTTTATACTTAACTATGATCTATATTTTATGTCCAAGATAATTCCTCTTCACTTAAGGCGGCCCAGGAAAGTCGAAAATTTGGAAATCCCTGTGATAAACCACCTTTTTTTTTGCGAAAATCGTTATTTCCATATTTTTATCATATTATTTTTGAAAAAACGAGTGCGCCTGTCTAATCGTATTTTGGCTTATTTACTTTCTTTGCATAACGCTAAACACTAATGAGGATGATGATGGTGACGCTGAAGATGATAGATGATCGATATAGTCGATATGCTTCCTTCCTTCTCCCTTCTCTTTTACAAATTCCTTTTAATTTTATTTATGACTATAAAAATTACTAATTTTTGATATTAATAAGATTTATTAATAATATTAATATCAAAAAATTCCATGTCGGATAGTAATTTTCCAAAATCTGTTAAAAATATTTGCAATATCCGTTCAACTTCAATCGCACGGCAAAAATGATTATCTCAATTATCAACTAATTTCTAACAAACTTATCAAAATCATTTTTGCTACCTTTAATTTATCTTTTTCCTAAGGTCAAAAGGTCAGACGACGTAGGACGATTTCAAATTTCAAATAAGTCAAGAAGACCGATTTCAAATTTCATATTTAAAATTTTCATGTTTTTTCTTCATAAAAACCTTTCAGTTCCAAATTGTTCTCAACTAAACTAAGCAATTATTTTCTTTATTATAAAAAAAATATCCGAAAAAGTCACAAATGCAATATTTAAACAGCTGGCATATTCGCTACTTCGAGAGTAGCTACATTCACTACATTCTCAGTAAATAGGTCAACAAAATATACCTTTTCTATCTGGTCTATAATTTTTTTTCCCTTAAATTCTTATTTATTTCTCTTGAAAAAGTTCGTTT